GTCTATCGAGCGTTTTATACGAATTATTGTCATTCGGTCGAAGGAAATCTCTCGCTCTCGTGAACGACGTCGGAATGAAATAATTCCCGACGACGAGACGCGACGACTCTCAGTAATTTACAGTTTATCGCAGGACAAAGGACATCGAGCGAAAACGAATTCAGTCGAAAATGTCGGAGAAATCCATGGGAATCGCACTTGTACTCAGATAACTGCGCGAATATGAAAAATTCTGAAAAGTGAACGCTGATGAGCGCGCACTTAATAACCGTTGGCAGCGGTGTAACTTTTATTGCCTGCACTTTTTGTTGCAACGTATTCTCCATGAAACAAGACATGTAGTTGTGAAGTACTTGCAGAGGGATGAAATTGTAAATTTAAGAAGGAAGTGAGTTCGAGTTGTGACGATGAAAATTGCTAAAAAAAATAGTTCTTGTAACAATATTAGATATACACATTTCTTTTTAAGTGTTATTTTTATTGAATAGACAAAAGTAACTCTTAAACTTGCAAATGAAAAGTATATTGGTTGGACATTTTGGAAGTTATTCAAGCTAGAAACAATGCTAATTTTTAAGATATAACTTATATCAAATATACTAGAAACTTTACTGCTTGTTTCACTGTACGCACTTCGTGACACAATTTTATAAAAAATGTGGGAAAATTTTAACCACTTATAAGAAACTTTATTAAATATAGGTACCTGTTTAAAAAAATATATTTTTGTTTGTAATCAAATGTTTAATTTGTGATATTATATATTCAAAAATAACTTATTGAAAGGAAAATTTTGTATGTTACGATACGTACCGCGCTTCTTGTTCTTTCACGCGTCTCTGCTTTCTTCCTCGCACATAGGTAGATGAAAAGGGATGGTGATACGTGTCTTCAAAGAACCTGCAACACCGCATGCAAGTAGCGCTTCAAAGTTCCCGAATCCGGGGCTTTAACATCAAAGGTTTCGACAGAGGGTTCGCCTTTGAAAGAAAACTCTGTGGTGTTTGCTGCCCTCTTATATTTCTGCGGTGTTTTTATTCTAAGTGACGTGTGTATATACGAAACCAGCGAGACAAGAAAAATCAGCACGTTGCCGCAGAATCATATTCTTAAACATTAAATATTTGTCAACTCTCTTGTTCGTAAATTTCGTATATAAAATAGCCGCATTTGACAACCAATCCACAAATATTTATATATTTGTAGCGTGTAAAAGTAATGAAAGAATGGTAAACCTGACATTTGATTGAATTTAATCCAGTTTCAATCTGTTTTCAATTTACTAAAATCATTTTAAAGATAAAGAAAGTTTCGTTTACTCTTGATTTGTTTAAATTCTGATTACAAATCAATCACTTTACGCAAAGTATAACTAAGTGTCATTAAAACCACAAATTCCCAATCAAATAAAATTACGCAAAACAAAGCATGAAGGACTAAATGAAACAAAAAACAATAACACAATTAATTCCATTCCGTTACACGCCTTAAGGTCACCACGCTAAAGCCACGTAGGAAGTGAGACACATCTAAAAATACAAAAGTCCTGTAAACACCCATAATACCGCCTAAGCCATGCCCATTCGCACAATCCCAAGAAACAATTCAAAGAAAAAAAGCAGCGTACAAGATCCCAACGTTCCGGTAACCAAGCATTCCTCCCACGAAGCGCACCTACAAAAGCGCAAGCAGATTCCGCGGCTAAATGAATAAACCGTTCGCAACAATAACGCGATGCAGTACAGAAATTCCCTCTTGCCGGTCAGGAACGGCAAAGTTGGCGATCTTTCCGTTCGTTGACCAAACTCAATTCAGTTCCCTTTATCCGCCACTTACCCTCTCGGTCGGCTTCTATCTTATCCCCCTTCCGGCCCTCCCCTAACCCCTCCGTCGTTTATTATTCCTTTCTCAAAGTTATTCCGCGAGAATGCAAAATACGCGCGGCACGCCGGGACAAACGCCGCTGAAGCGGGTTCCGAAGAAAAGGTTAGAGAATGGGCGAGGGTTGGCGCGGAGATGCGGACAAGAAGAGGAACGACGACGGAAAAAAAGGAAAAAGGGAAAGTAAAAAGCAGCCGGGCCACGTAGAAAGTTTCGCGTAACTCGAAAGATTAGACCGCGGCTGAACGTTGGGTGGAAACGTTGCCTGAAACGCAGGGGGTTGAAGAGGGTGACGAGTCGGTGGGATGGGATCGAGAGCGACGGACTTAAAAACAATTGGCCCGCGGCGACGCGGGAATTTTAAACACACTTTTATCGCTCGTCCCGATGGCTTTTGTTCGACAAAATCGCCCGGGGGTCCGGAACGGGGTGAGAATCGACGGGGGCCCCCTGACGGGCGCACTGTCCACGATCGAAGGGCTTTAAGGCAATTTACGAGGGGTTTTACGGTTTCAAGTGACGCCAGACTGTCCTGATCTTTTTCCATTTCCCACCCTTATCCCGCGCTCTTTTGTTCCTGTCCTCTCTTCCCCCTGTACCTCGTCCACTTTATATTCAATGTTATTTTAATACCGCCCCCTTTCCTTGCGCCTCTTGCCCTGTTTCACCCCGACTCCAATTGAATTATAAGAGGGTGGAAAATTACCGCGTCCCCGGGGAATTTAAATAGGACGAATCAACGCTTCTGACGACGCACCGAGAATTGGCTTTTGCGGCATCAACGTTTCCACAGCGATCGCGCGTTGTTGTGTCTGCGATCTTTTCGCGAGGCGAGTCGTGCTTACTGGTGGTCGTTTGTGATCGTAGGATATCAGCGATGGGATGATGGAATCATTGTGAATAGTCTGATGGATGACACAGTTGTGTTTGTGTGATGACATGTGTGGTTCTAGACTTCTGATTTACTGCTTTTGAGTAAAGTAGTTGGCTTTTCAACGTTTTTATCGTGTGAAAATCAGTTACCAACTTTTATCTTCCGTTGAAATCTTTGTTTTTTTATTCAATGAATTTCTATCTTTTACGTTTTCTTCAAAATTATATGCATGTCTGGTTAATCCCGACGCATATCTGATTGCTAATCACTTAGTGGTTCATCAGAGATGATTCGTGACACGCGGAGGATTCGTGCAATATTAATTAGAAGTCTGTCAATTTATCATATCAAATTTTTGTCGAACAAGCACAAGCACCACCATAAAAATTACTCAGTAAAATTTAGAAACTGTCTAAATTTTGATATTAATCAATAAAAACAAAATAAAAGTGCGTGGCAGTTATTTGATTCATTATATATTCTTCTAATTTGTCATATGTTTGTCATATGTCACAAACATATTTTTCTTATCAGTTCCACAGCTTCCAAACTTTTCTTCCCTTACTACTAAAAGACTGAGAATTATAACCTCAACAGAATTTCAGCACCTCATAATAAAATGAACTATAACCCTAATCGCCAAAACATTTCACCACTAAAGAAAACTAAAAGTGATCCTACACGAACATCATCCCAGATTCCTGGCAACAGAGAAAAAATCTTACCCAACCGAAACTGGTACCAGCGATACAGGAATATTTGTACACGACGAAAGGGTTGAGGGGGTGGCAGACAAGCGGAGGGGAGGGAAGCTTCGATTACAACTCTAGACGAGCCACTAAACTGGCGGGAGGGCGAGGAAGAAACGAGGGTGGTTGCGGAAGGGTCGAGTTTAGCCGCTCCACTGGTCTGTAACTCGAACCAACCCCGAGAAACACCACCGCCCCCGGGAACTTGCCGCGTCAGCCCCCGCTATAAGGTCGAAACCTACCGCCTACGGACAGGAAACGGAATCCAACTTCCTTCCTTGGTCGAGGGCGAAGATTAATCTCGGCGCGGCCATGCTTCTACCTGTGTACCACGGTACCCATTCGACCCTCTCCCCCTCTAGGCTCGACCCATCCCTCTTCGCGAGACCACGTACACTTCTCACCGTGCTCTTTCTATCTGCCTTTATCAATCTGACTCGCCAACTAACCTGCCTCCGCCCCCGGGGGCCACGCAAATCTTCCCGAAGCGTTCTCTTAGCGACCCGGACCTCGACTGTTGCGCTTAACAATATTGTACTGAATTATAATGGTGCAGGGTCTGGAAAGTTTGGCGTAATGTTATTATGCATCATACTGTATGCACCGGGTAATAAGGTTGTGTTATAGATGTCAATCTTAATCTTGTAACGTGTTCATACGTGCAGGGCTGGTGGATTAATGGTTGTTGCTTGTATCGTCTTCTGTGATAGGGATGATATTTTAGTTTACTTCTATCATTTATTAATGTTTTTTAATGTGGTGGGTATTAGTTTTTTAATGAAAATGAGTGGTACTAAATGGATATCAATGAGATTGATTACCCTATGTGGTGGATTACTGAAGATTATATATATATTATATTGAATATTATAGAAAGACGCACAATGTCAATGATTCATTATAATTGTGACTTGAGTCTGCTCGGGTTGATGACATTATGATCTTTTGCTATTAGAAGAGACAGAAATTTGAATACGTATACTGAAATTTTCTCTTATTTCATTGTAAACTTTACAATCTTCCGGATGACTAACCTAATATGTCACTAAATAAAAATAAATATATATGGATTAATATCTGTCCATAGTTCAATGAACATCTAAATTGTTCTAAAATATATTCACATAATCGAATATTAAATGAGTCTTAACAATACAAATATTATTAACAACAAAAAGTCAACCATCAATAAATACTTTCTTCTTCCGTTATACCAGTTATGCGACCTGTTCTTCTCGTATAATAATTTTACGATAAAATTCCTCTGATATTTCTCGAGAACTCGTCGACCGTTACGTTATTTCCAGTTATGTTTCATAAAACGAATTCCAACTTTGTTAAAGGAGAGAGACGGAAGACAGTGACAAAGCATTCTTTACCGGAGTGTTTAAAACGTTTGAAACCGGACCGATACATCCCGTTAACACACAATACATCAACCGAGTCGCCGTTCAACGTTATTTCAAGCTGCGCAATTCCGCAATTTAATTTTCCAGATCCCTGCAGCAACGTCGAGTGCGGAGAGCCGGAAATCTGTCAGCTGGACGACTCGAGGCAACCAGGCTGTCGTTGCGGCGAGCAATGCGGCCTTGAGTTCTCACCAGTTTGTGGAAGCGATGGTAAAACATACTCGAATGAATGCAGCCTCAGGCAGGAAGCTTGCAGATCGAGATTATCGCTCAGGAAGGTCTACAACGGCGCCTGCAGCTCAGGTAATTAAATTTCTGGAAAATCGTTTAACTCGACCGAAATTGGTCCGAATCTCGTTTACATCTTATCATGCACCGCAATACATATTGTATACTATAAAGCGGTTGCACGAAAATTTGTTAATCATAAACACAACAGTCTGTAAGATGCTTTCCGTTTCTAAAGGATAAATACTTAATTTTATATTTATTTTTATATTTCTAAGTGTTCGTATCATCTGTAAAGTCATTAATAAAAAATATTATTTATTAACAAATATTTAACATTTAATTATTGAATAATTGATTATTAATCTAACTAAGAATTAAATAATTAATTCAGTTGTTAACTCATTTAACCATTGAATATTACTTCAATTCCTACTTGGAATTGTACATCGATTCAATTAAAAATTTAATCTTTAATTGCAATTAATATTCAATTATTTCGATTCCAAAGCCATGGAATAGGCGTATTAAACATTGTCCAACGTTAACTTTAAATAATTATATTAAGCTATACAGAAGATCGTTTAAAATTTTTTTTAAACTACTATAATTTTCCATCTCTAAAAATATTTCTCATCCGCTTCTCTAAGCACTAATTTCACTCCAAAATAATCGTAGCCAATAAAAGTATATGTATTAACAATTTTCATAGAGTCTCATAATAATCATAAAACGTTAACTTCCATACTTTCTCTCACTAAAGCAATACGATGTATGGAGGTTCTTAATCCGAGTCGTTCTGCAGGAATCAATCCGTGCGATGAGGCGAACTGCAGCCCATTCGAGCAGTGCGTGATTAATCGTCAAGGAATAGCGAGCTGCGAATGTGGTCCAGAATGCGAGCCAGTGATGAGGCCAGTTTGCGCGCGAGGCGGCAACACATACACGTCCCTGTGCAAGTTGAAGAGACAGGCGTGCTTGACGAAAACTAACATCGAAGTCGCTTACACTGGAACTTGTGGATCTAGAGGACCATGCAGCGAGAAGGTCAGTCAGTTTCGATATAGCTTGTGTACTACCTCGTCTACCACATAGTCACTAGGCTGAAGGTTGGACTAATTAATTAGTTTTCATCTTCTCTTATCTCATTTTCGATAATAATTTACTACTCGTTAACACTTCGACTGTCACCGCGTTCACCAATGATCAGTGGTTCTGAATTTCTTGAGAACAATTACAATATATAAGATGACGGATGTAGAATGACAATATTGTACAGTCTAAGTAACTAAACAATAGCGTAGTATAAGTACTGTGATAACAAATAATTAATAATTATATTTTGTTTTGAGTTTTTATATTGAGTTTTTATACGTATATCGTGACAGTCAACGTGTTAATAGTGTCACACGTAATCAATCAAAACAACAATCAAAACTATTTACGAAAGACCTCTCTTGCCCTGTACCATCCCAATATTCATCTTCAATCATAGTTTCCATTTAGGCATTCTTTCACACTTAACCAATGTCATGATAAAGCATTACACTTAACTATTTCCATTACACACTATAACAAAGTTAATTCACTTGATACCCAAGAAAAGATTATTTCACTTAAATTTATTAAAAATTTATTAAAGACTTTTGAAGAAAAAATTCTACAGATTATAATCAAGAACCTCACAAAATTCCAAAAAAGAATATTCTGAGAAAGCAATAAACTTTTCATACAACAGATTCAACTACTAAAGCCATTTACAGAATTTTCATTGTGTAACAATTAAACAGGATAGCTACTAGGTAACAAGACTCCACATTTATCACTTTGTTTTAAACACGGTTGGTCCAGCGGAACGACAATTCCCGTTACCCATGTCCTGATTCACTCCGCCTTCCACGCTCCCCACTTATTATCCCCATCTTTCTCCGCGATAACGGGGGCTTAATCGCGGCTCGGACCGCGCCGCGGGCGCAATATGGCCCGTGAAAAACGCCCGGGGATTCGTCGGCGGCCAATGAAAACGCGGAAAGATCGCGGGAAGCGAGTGTACATTCAATTCTGAGAATTAAAGTGCCGCGCGTAAATTGCGCGGCCCTGGAAAGTATTGCTCGCGATAGATTATCGGCTTTGCGAGAACGAGCGCGGAACCCGGACCGCGGTTATCCCGCTGGAACTCGCAGCGAGAAGTCCTGGCGTCGCCGGGAGCTGAATTTCCGAGATAAGCATACGACCGCCGCCGATTAATCCGACTTCTGTCCCCTTCCGTTTCCTCGGGAACGAAGAGGACCGGGGAAAAAGGTGTCCCCGAAGTGACAATCGCGAAGACGATAAAGAAAATGGGAATGGAAGTGGACGCGATGGGTATTTTCTTCGCAGATTTGCCAGTGGGGCGCCATTTGCGCGGAGACCGGCGGCACAGCGGTCTGTGAGTGTCCAACCTGTCCGGCCGAGTTTCAGCCTGTCTGCGGCGATGACGGCATCAGTTACGGGAACGAATGTAAGCTGCGCCTCGAGGCTTGTCAACATCGTCGAGAGATCCGAGTGCTTTATCAAGGACTGTGCAGTGAGTAACCATCCCGATTGGGATCCGATTCTCTTGGACTCCTCTTTTTGACGCTTTATCGTGTCACCAGAACTTGGGTGACGGATGAAGTTTTTAATAGACGACGTTGGGCAAAATGTGATTTAAAATGTAAGAGTTGATTCGGTTATGAGTTTGCTTTTTTGATTGTTGGTTTACTGGTCTGAAGTTGGAATTGAAGTATACTATAGTATAAGCGAACACTAATTAATGGTTGCTGGAGGTAACTTGGAATAGAGTTGTAAATATCTAGAAGAGAATACTGAGAATTTAATCGCGAAGTTGGAATTGTTCTCTTAAAGAAGTTTCAATGGAACACATTGGAGCAGTTTAAACCCAGCTTTTAATATTACAAAAATCATAAAATATTAGTTTTAATTTAATTTAGTATTGACTTAAACCAAACGTTTCATACGTAACATTAATTAGTAGTATTAATGCATGATCAAGTTATGTTTTGCCTTACTTTGCCAATAGGCAGCGTCATCTGTAAATGCCTGATGATCGATCAATGATTCCACGATGGTTCTATAAGATAAATGTTTCCAACATTTCCCGTCTTTACTACTTCCAACTTCTTGTTTACCAATCGTGAACCGCAAATAACTTTATTGTGTCCTAATGCCGGAAATACGAGGAACGGTACTTCGAAAATTGAATCCCAATAAGTTAGAGAAAACCACTACCTAGATTACCCATTTCTGATCCCAGCTTCCTTCTAGTTTCCGCTTTATCCTTCTTGTGTACTAACATGCTCGCCCGTATCATCTGTACTTTATTTAATTTTAGTTCAATTTTATATTGCTACGCTAATTCTATTTTGCCACCCATGTTGTTGATATACACTGGTAATCTTTACAAATAAATGCTTTCCGGAATCAAATTACACTCTCAGACCATGAAAAGTGGATCAAGTGAAATTTTGATATAAAAGTTTGTTCAAATATTTATGAATTACAGTCGGTGTTCTTATTTGGACGTATTAAATTATAATTACATTTGGACTCAACCGGTACCCACTTTCAAGAATTTAATTGAATGCAGACAGAAATACTAATGGCTCACAGAATAGAGTATATTTTGAAGCTCGCCTACTCATTACGAAGATAGAAAATCAAATAATTCACGAACAGTTACACACGATGTCCTGTAAATCAAGTGGTGGAAAAAAAATCAATTGAAAATGTGAAATGAAACTTTATTTAAAGCTTCGTTGTCAAATAAATCGAGTTTGAACCATCAGCAATTAACCTAACTGCATGCTCGACAAATTTTTAAACTAAATTCCCTCGGAATCTAGACGGCAGCCGACAAAATTTTAATCTACAATTCTTATTCACTTTTTCATGTAAAATAACTTCCTTGCGATCCAGTATTCAACCGAATCAACATTCGCAGATGTAGTTGACAAACTTTTCAATCTCGAAAATGAGAACTCAAATGAAAACAATTTTATTTTATATTTTCGATTTTCTTTTTACCTTGAATCAGTTTTTTGCTAATTGCATCAAATTGAGGATGCTGATAAGCGTTAGCATAATCATAAAATTCAATATTCAATATTAAGCTTTGCACAATGCAACAGTATAAGAAATATGTAAATAAAATAGCTTTGTTCCTTAACCCCATGCTTTACAATAATGTATCAGACTCGTGGTGAAAATTTTCAACAGAGTTTAATAAACATAAATATTACTCAACTGTTTTGAATTCAAATTAAATATTATCCCCGTATTATAAATTATTATACCACAGAGCAAATATAGATATAGAATATATCTAGAATTTTTCCCTTTTTTCAATGAATTATTAATGACAAAGTAGTTGTACCGATCATAATTAAGAAATAAATCATAGGGCAACAGCTTAATTTCTGTGTGATACCTTGATAAATCAATTCTCAAAAATGCTCTCTATATCTCGCCAAAAAATATTGAATACTTCCAGTGAAAAAGTTTCCAATTCAAAAAATTAAATATAATTTTCCAGCCTCTTGAATGTCTAAAAAAGTTCCAAAAAAAGATTGCCGAATTTTCAAACTGTTTTTTTTTCATAAAACATGCTTTCTCCGACTCGTTAGGAAAATGTCAGAAATGTGTTGAATAAATGAGATGATTGGTATTTACCCAGAAGTCGAGTCTTTTGATTCAGTCATTGAATATGCAACCTGGCAGGCGTGAGTTCGACGATGACGCGTAGTTTTAGACAGCTGGCTTCATTCTCACGTTCTTTCTTCTGAGCATTCAGCCTCATGGAAATCGGTCACGAATACACGTCGCGCCGCGACGGTACGAAACAAACGCACAACTCGATGGGGCCAGCGACTGCTGGCTGCCATGTGACACACGGCATTGTTCATTTCCAACGCAAATTATTTCCACACAATCGTGGACGAGATCTCTTGGCGGTCTTCGTGGGCGCCTCTTCGATTCGGGTCACTAACGCGTAAACTGTGCTACTTATTCTGACGAAGGAACGATCGTGAATAGTTATGAGAGGTCAGAGTGGGTTGTAAACGTTCTTAAGATTCGTACGAGATTAGTAACACAGAATGACCTTGGTTTAGGAGGAACAATATTTTTTGTAAGCAATAGCACGGTTTGTTAAATAATTGAAACTTATGTAAAGAAACATTTGAGCTGGATTATATTCATAATTGCTTGTTGTAAATCACATTTCTGTATTTTTGAAAATAATTGCAGAATTACTGAATTATTAATTAGTAAATTAATATTTCGTAATGTCAACGTAATTATGTGAAATAATAACGATTGTAGTAACTGCTGCACTTAAAGTTTATTTTTCTTATTAATAATTCTACAGTTTATTGTTTCGAAATGAATTTTCGATTATTATCGACGCAGGTTAAATTTGAATATTATATTTTAATTGATATTTAAAGTTGAATTGATAGCATATTTTAGAATGAAAGTTCATTGATTATTTGAATGATTCTTTGCATTTTTCTGTTAATTAATTGTTAATAACTGTCACTTAATACCATTGCTCTATTTTTTCTTTTATGTTAAAATCTAGATTAAATCAGTTTGTCTACAATAATATGTTCCTCTATGAACCATCAACGTCCGATATTATTAATAAAATTATGAATAGAATTTTGATTCCTTAATGAGGGATCACCGGGATCAAATTGATTCTTTAATGAGAAGCAGAGTAGCTTAAATTTGGTAACCACTTTCCAGTAAACAACTAATTATTTAGACGGACTAGATGGATCATTACTGACAATGAAGTTTAATGTATGCACCGTGAATTGAGTGTTAGATTATTGCAAATACAGTAAGTAATTTTGAACCTGACAATGTTCCCGTATATAAAAATTAACAACGATAATTAAATTAATTCAATAATTTATATTTATTAATAGTTAACCCCAACTTTTAATTGTAATTGTAAAATAGAATTTGTGAAAACAGATTGAAAAAGCTCAATTGCTTAGAGTCCAGTAACTTACAAACAAGAAAATCTAATTGTTAAGGATCACAATTGAAGGTACATTAAAAAAATACCGGAATAATTTAATATCCCGTTTTATTCGCCGGAAATGTTCGTTTCGTTGTCAGTTTCTTCTATCGGGTTTTCATGAAATTCGGACGGTCGGGAATTTTTCCACGAGAAATTCGTTGATTGAGTATTGATTGAACCGAGGCAGAACGGTTAGAGCGAACGGTCTGAGTAAATAATTAAGGAAACTTTATTAACGAGACGAAGTGGGCAAGAAGCACTCGAAGAATGATTAATACCGGTCGACTGAGTCCATTACATCGAGCGAGGATTTAAATCATCAGATTTACAATTACGGGAGTAGAGGAAAGTTTTTCCGGTGATACAATGAGTTCGACGATTTTTACACGAGCCCCGATACACTGTGCGCCAATTTGCATACAATGAACAGAATCCTTTGACATTGTAATCGTATTTGCATGGTGATCGATAACGGACCTTTGTGTCTTAAGAATGTTTCGTTACCCGGATTTGCATTTTTATGGGCAGTATTCTTCGCGGGAATAACGCGCAGCTAAGGGGGTCCGTAACGATTAAATTTCTGTTCCATCGTCTGATTGCCAATTATACACTGTCAAAAAGTTAAATGTAGAACAAGAAGAAATTACGAAGTTTCCGAATGGCTGGCAACTTGTTAATAGCTTGTTATGTTGCTGTAATTGTTTAGTGCGCCATTCGCCGGTTTTATGCCATCGGCTTTATACTTCGAATTCAAAATGAAAGGAAGCTAATGGATACTCGATAAAGGGAATTTAAAAGTGAATTATAAAGCCGTCACTTTGTTGTTAACTGTTGTCGAGAACAGCGCTAGAATTTAAGCACGGGATATCATATTATGTTTCTCTTTAACGATTCCTTTTAACGTCAGTTTTGTTTCGTGCGAAATCTGTGTTACGAAGAGAGATTGGTATGTAATTGATGTTTCCTATATTTCATCAAGTACTGACTCTAAGCAGAAAATATTTTGGTTTTTCTTGAACAAATTTTGTCAACATATTCGTTACATATTAACAAAAAGAAAATGAAAATGAAATCGTACGTCCTATGCTGTAGAGAAATGTTATAACAAAAGTAAAAAATACTGTGACTTTATGGTTACAATTTATTTTACATATGTTCGTAACAATTTTAAACTAAACGCCTTCAAAGATTTCTAACGTATTTTCCCTCGTATTTTATATCCTTGTTATAACTTTGTTAATAATGTACACGTGTCGCATATATATTCAAATCTGACATGCATCTTAAATTTAAAGTATAAAATAAAGAACTGGTTTCACCAATAATTACAACAATTCATATTTATATAAATTTGAAGTCCATGCTTGAAATAAAACGCAAAATCAAAATATTCTTGTTTACATCAAACAAAATTCATATTCGAAGATATTCTCAACCCCACCATTGTGTACATTACGAAGCAGCTGCTATCTAAGGGTCAGATCCGGTAAAGAAATTCATTCATATCGGTAGGAGCTGAATTCCCCGAGCCTCCGCAGATAATTTGCATGGTTTAAAATCGCGTGAAACTTCTGAAACGTACTGCCAGGATTCGGTTCCATGCATATCACAGGGCGAAGCGACTTCGTTCCTCGCTGAAATTGTATGAGTTGTTACCCAGCGGCATGCACGTTGCATATGCATGCAGCTTCATCCCTCCGGCTCCTCGACGATCTACACCGAGCGAGGACTCGGTTTCGTGTGTACTGATCGCAAGGCAGCCGGATTCTCGCGTCGCGAGCACAGAAACCTAGAAGCCACCCTCCTTCATCGACCTACCACCCCCCTTCATTCCAGGAAGCTTTCGGCCCTAGCCTCCAAAGGTTTGTTACCCTCCTCTGTAGTAGCATCATCGACACTTCGCTAAGGATAGGGCAGAGCAAATAAGCCAACACCCTTTTTCCCTTGGGCTTCAATGAATTCTAAAGACAACTTCTCCGCTGCAAATCCGTTTCACCGCCGCAACGAGCTCCTCCTATCATCGTTCTCTTTTCTTTGTTTCCATTTATTAGGTAACTAGATAGACTCGTGCAGGATTTAGATGTACAGTTAAAAATTAACTACTGCTTGTTTTAAAAATGCAATTCAATGTCCACTCTTATGTTACTTTTTGGGTTGATGTTATGCGAGTAATCATTTTTGGAATACGTTTTGTTCTGTATTTGAAAAGGAGTATTTGGAATAATACTTTATGAATTTGTGGAATGTTTCAAAGTCAGAATAATGGTACAGCCTAGTTGTATTTATGTATTTTCTAAAGTTGTCGAAAGTAAAATCAAATAGGCATTCTTACTTTCTCAGATCTAGAGAGTTTAAAAAGACAGACAGGAATGTTTCCAATAAGAATTTAATGGTACAATGATCAATTCCAGAATTTAACAAACGATGAAGTCTAGAAACAAAATATATTAAATCTCACTAATAATTAAAAGTCATTATTAATAACTCGCAAACATACATTAGTTTGTTCTTCTAATAAAAAGCTTCTATTTCTATCTTAAATTACTCTACAGGCCTATACAGTTTAAAACCTGATCAATAACTCGATATAGCTCTAAACATTCAATAACTGTTCGCCCAAAAAGTTTCTGTTCCTTCAATCAGTTCCCCCTACAAATTTTCATTGAAATCGAATAAGGATACACAGTGTTCCCTCATTAGCTACCGTATCCGGCCACCATCATCCTCCCAACTAGCCAGAGAATTTCCCTCGAAATGGACGCAGTTATGCAAATACCTCGCGCTCGCTCGGGAATCTTTATTAATATCGGTTTGCACGTCGGCCAGAAACGAGCGGGCCTAACTGGAACAGCGTAGCTCGGTCGGCCGCTTTTGTGAGCTCGCCGATGTCCGGGATACACGGAACCGGAAGAAGCCCGCGTAGACCGAAACAATTCACCGGGCGAGCGTAGCGCGAGGCGTGCGAGATATCGCACGGCATCTATGGATCCCGGCCTAGAGTCGGACTGGGGATGACGAATGGCCGGGTCCGGTCAGTCTTTTTGCTCCCGCGGGCAATTACCGGGAGATAGATTGTCCCGATGTATATAGAGGCAGCATAGCGAACGCCGCGGCCGTTAGCTGGCCACATCGTGATCCCCGTTAATTGGTAATCATTTCATTGTTTGCTTCTAGATGGCTGCGAAAACAAGAAGTGCGACTTCTATGCTCAGTGCGAGAGCGACAGCGGTGGGGAGGCTAAGTGCGTGTGTCCTGGAAAATGCGAGAGTTCGGTAAGTGGACAATCTTGTTGTTACTGCCAGTTTGTGAAATCTTTAAAGTGATAGTTTAGGGTGATTTATGATTTGGCATTTTGAATTAAGGGACTATTTTGTATTACAATTTTTCTGAAAGGGATAGATAAATAGATTGTTAATTTATATGAATAAT